AGCAAAGCCTGGAGCAGTTTCCTGGTTTGGGTTGAAAAGAAGGCTCAGAAGAAACCTTTTAAGAAGAGATGCTGAACATCCTCCTGAATTGTCCATCCCTTGGCTTCACAATGGCCTCCTATATAGGCCTGCCCTACCTGAAATATACTCATGATCTCAAAATAGGCCCATCCTCCTATCAACATGTTTGCATCAAGCTTTGCATCCCCTCAGTGACCTCTCCATGGGAAACCCGTCTGATAAACTAACTACCCTACAATATTAATTGTGCCGGGCCAGCTCAGCCAAGGGTTTGGTGAGCCTGACGGGGGGCGGCGAAGGATTAAAGAAAAGACAGACAAAGAGAATAAGCTGGATCTGGGTGGATCTCCTGTGCCTGGCTGAGGCCACAGAGAGGGGATCCAGACAGCAAGCTGAGCCTATATTTTATAGCCAGAGGTAAACAAGGTAGTGGTCACCATAGTTACAATGTTCTTGTGAGTTTTCACTTGTTTTGGCAGCACTTGCTGCACCTCCCACAGCCCATTAGCTACCCAGATAAGATCTAGGGAGCCTCATAAGGTCAAGCCTAATTATGCTAAGAGGGCTGTGCCCTCTATGCTGGAACCTGTTTTGTGGCTTTGCCAACAGGTCAGTCCGAGGCTTAACCCTATAGCTGCTCCCTGCAATTAATCATTTACTCATCATAAATTTTATTGTATAAAGGATTTTGGAAGAAAGAAAGATCATACATGTGATCCCTGCCCTCATGCAGCTCCTAGTGTGGTGGAGATACGATGATGCCATTATTATTAGAGTCACATCTGCGTAGCACTTTACAATATGCAGAGCACTTTTGTTTTCCCTCTCATTTAAGGCATGATTATAGTAACCGTAACATGAAACAGCAAGAAATGCAGGCATGGGGCTCTGGGGGACAGAAGAGATCCCTTTCTTCCAGGGAAGCAGAAAAGGTTGTGTGGAGTTGAAACGCTTGAGCTGGACCTTGAAGGGTGGGTAGGACCTGAACTGAGAGACTGGCCTTGGGCTGTCCCTGGAGAGGAAGAGCCTGTGCACTGATAGAGCCCAGAGAGGACATTGGGGAACTGAGTGGTGGGGGTTGAAGCAGGGTGACATTTGATGATAATGGGTAACACGTAAGCTTTTACACTGTTCTAAGTGCTTTACATATCAGACTGGCCAGGCACCCCAGTGGGGACTCCTCCACGTTTCCCTGCGGTTTCCTCACATCTCCCAGTGTATGAGCCACCATGGCCTGCCTGGCTCAGGAGGGAGAGCATCATGCCAGCAGCTTGGGCTAGGAAAACAAAAGTTCTTCACGCTACACTTGCAGTGTTTTTGTAAGTCTTGAATGCTTTCAACATAGAAAATAATAATGAAAATAAAAGCTTGAAAAGTATGAACTTTATGTTGCGTTTGGCACAGTGGTCAGCAAACTCATTAGTCAACAGAGCCAAATATCAACAGTACAACGATTGAAATTTCTTTTGAGAGCCAAATTTTTTAAACTTAAACTATATAGGTAGGTACATTGTTATTAACTGAATTAGGGTACTCCTAAGCTGGCCTTTGCTAAAAACGTCCTCAATCTGAGGGGTCGACCTCAGCGAACGTACCCCCACTTCTTCTAATGCCTCTTCTTCAAAATAGACGCCCAGGCCAAAAACCGACTTCTGCGCATGGGCCACAAAGTTTCAATCGCACTGTACGTGCACGCCCGCACGTGGTATTTTGTGGAAGAGCCACACTCAGGGGGCCAAAGAGCCACCTGTGGCTCGAGAGCCGGGTTTGCCAACCACTGGTTTGGCATGATCATTAGCATAATAAAGTCTGTGCATTAGAGCAGAGTGGGATAACCCATCCGGGCCTCAGCTGGGTTTCCTGAGATCACTCACAACTTTTAGGCCCTTCAAACAACCCTGTGTTTTGGTCTATGTGCTGCCACAGTGTGCCCATGAGTACTGTATTATTGATTTTTAAGACGCTTTCTTATAGCTTCTAGGTAGAATTATGACAGTTCTGCGATCACTGGGGAAGTAAAAGAGGAGGAGGTGGAGGAGGGGAGAAACAGCAGCGTCTCTTTTCTCCTGTCCTTCCAGAGCCATATTGACTTAGGTGCAAAGGCTTAAATGTACCAAGACGTAGGACCCCCTAAGCCACTCCAAGTCGTCTTAGTGCTAATACAGCACCTTCTCTTAGATGTAGAAGCCTCTGTTCTCCAGTCAGTAGGTCCTGTTCCTGTGGCGGAGGGGTGGAGATGGAACCCAGGGGCTGCTGCTCTGAGAATCAGACACCCAGATCAGCTTTTCAAGTACTAGTTCTGCATTTCAGAATTTCCCAGGATTTTAGGCAGACATGAAGGATTCTCTTCCTCCTCTTTTTCTCTTCTCATTTTCCTCCACCTCCTGCCACCTCTCTTCTTTTCTTCTTTCTCTTCCTCCTCAATCTCCTTCTCCTCCTCCTCCTCCTCCTCCTTTTTCTTCTTTTGTCCTGTAGTCTCTACTAATCTTTATAGATAGTGACTGTTTAATATGGGTAGAGGATATGGAAGTGATATCAAACCTTTGGTGTGAAATGAGGACTTATGGAACGCCTACCTACTCTTTCAGCCATGTCTACACATAGTTATGCATCATAATGCTTCATTCATACATTTTTAAAAATCTTGATTAAAACATCAGTGTTCACAGCAGCATTGTTTACAATAGCCAAAAGGTAGAAACAACTCAAATGTACATGCATAAACAAAATGTGATATATAGATATATGTGTGTGTGTGTGTGTGTATCCCAGAATTATTCAGCCTTAGAAAGGAATGAAATTCTGACACATGCTACAACATGGATGAACCGTGAGGCTATTATGCTAAGTGAAATAAACCAGACACAAAAGCACAAATATTATATGATTCCACTTATATGAGGTACATGGGAGAGTCTAATTTCATAGAGATAGAAAGGAGAATAATGGTTATCAGGGGCTGGAGGAAGGGAGAACGAAGAGTTATTGTTGAATGAGTATGGGCGTTTCAGTTTAGGATGACGGATGGTCGTGATAGTTGAATAACAATATGAATGTACTTAATGGTACTAAACTGTACACTTAAAAATAATTAAAATGGCAGGAAGGCCGGGGAGAGTTGGGGGTTGGGGGGGGGGTGAGGCCAGGGGAAGGTCAAGGGGGGAAAAAAAGGAGACATATGTACTACTCTTTGTAGTATTTTAAGCAATAAAACAAAATTTTAAAAAAATAATTAAAATGGTAAATTTTATGTTCTATATATTGTATTTTACCACAGTAAAAAAGTCTCAGTCAGTATTATGTAAATATGAAAAAAAATTCATGGATGCTGGCATCCTATTTGGTATTAACAGATTTGGTGTTTAAGCAATAAAATAGGTTTACCTTATTTTGTATAAGATTTGCAGTTGTGGGTGAACTGGGACTCTCGTAACATTACTGTCTTGTCATGGTCCAGCAGCTGTTGTTCACATAGCATCTTTGCTCCCAAAGACATCCAGACATCTATGAACACTGTGTTCAAATGGAAGACCCTGTCAGCTGTGAGTGAGGAGCCTGAGTTCTGTTTCAGCTCTGTCTTGATCAAGTCTCTCTCTTCGCCTTTCCGGACCTCATCTTTGTTACATAGCCAGGAGGCTCACATCCAGGTCTTTTGTTTCTTAGCCTCATATGCTTTCTCACCATGCTGCCTGTGGTTTGGCAAATTAGATTTGGTGCTCAGTCTGCCCAACTAGGTCTACCCTTGGTTGGGACCCTGCCCACTGCATTTGGCACTTGGTCCCTGATACAACCTCCAATGGGCCCCTTTCCGGGGAAGGGAGGGGCATTCTGTCACCCTGGGGGACATGGAAGAGTGCCTGCCTTGCCTCCTGAAGGGTATGCAATTCTGCCTGCCCTGTGAACAGCCTGGATGTGGATTCCCCAGAAATAAGTTTGTTTCCCAGATCAAGGAAGAGCAGTTGGCTTTTGCTGCTTCCCGTTCCTACAGGTCGCCCTGCCTCTACTTCCCTGTCAGGTAGAAGTCCGCACTTCTTGAAGCCCAAGCCTTCACCTGAAGTGTTTATTGTTGGCCACCTGCCTCCTGTAAGCTGATCAGTACAGGAGGCCCATCAGCATTGCCCCATCCACATTCTTTCCCCTTTCTCTGAATTTCTAGGCAGTTGCAAGAGAGATTCTTTATTCCTGTAGACCCTATCAGCAATTCTAGTCCTTGGTTTAGATCAGCGGTTCTCAACCTGTGGGTCGCAACCCCTTTGGGGGTCGAACGACCCTTTCACAGGGGTCGCCTAAGGCCATTGGAAAACACATATATAATTACATATTGTTTTTGTGATTAATCACTATGCTTTCATTATGTTCAATTTGTAACAATGAAAATACATCCTGCATATCAGATATTTACATTATGATTCATAACAGTAGCAAAGTTACAGTTATGAAGTAGCAACGAAAATAATTTTATGGTTGGGGGTCACCACAACATGAGGAACTGTATTAAAGGGTCGCGGCATTAGGAAGGTTGAGAACCACTGGTTTAGATGTATGGAGCTGTCTTATAATTTTATTGTAATCTGAAAGAAAGAAATGCGTGTCTCTTACTTCTTCTAGATCTGAATGTTCCTTAAAAAGTGCTGGTTGGCAGGACCTGCTGGGGTAGAACCGATAGTGATGGCTCCTCAGGGGAAGGCCTCTCCAGTTAAGGTTTCGGCAGTGCCTCCTGCCGGGGCCTCGACAAATAAAGAGCTGCCTGCGTTCTCCGTGAGCGGCCCTGGAACACTGCTGTGTTGGAGGCATGCTCCCTTATTCCTGTGGGACCCTTCCGTCTGCCCAGCTACTTGGCTGACCCATAGCAGAAAAGGACACAGAGCTGGGCGAGACAGGGATGTGGGTGGAGTCCCCGCATCAGGAGGAACAGGACACTAGTTGCCAAAAGAAATTTTATCATCCTAATAAAACGAAGCACATGATTTGCATTCCAGGTCCTTCAACTATTCTATGGGAGCCCGGGCGTTTTCCCATGACAGTATTTTTATCCCTGATGGGGGAGCAGAAAGTGAGCAGACAGTTCAAGCAATGTCACAGGACAACATCCTGGGCAAAGTCAAAACTCTTCAGGTAAGACAGCTTGAGACTGGAAGGTTAGAGCCGCAGGAGGGCCTGGCTGTGGAGGGAGTGGGGAGATGCCCAGCTTAGCCCTGAGTGATGGATGGGGAGGTCGAGTGGGAGCTCCTGGGGAGAATTTTCGCCTTTTTTTTTTTGGTAACTGGAGTCAGTTCTCTAAGCCTTCTGTCCCCTGTGAGAGGTACATTGTCACCATTGCACCCACCTTCATAACGCCCCCTTTCCTGTTCTCTCAAACTGTTCCCTCCGTGTTGAGTGGGCATTACGAGGACAGGTACCCAAGAGAAGCTGCATGCCTCGGATGGGAGGAGTCATTAACTGTGAAGTGTTGGCCATAATCCCCAAGTTCAGGGCTGACTGTCTGTGGATGGTTTGCACAGCAAGTGTTCACTCTCCAAGCCTCCCTGCTTGGAGCGTGAATGCTGAGCCTCTTACTCTGTTGTGTGAATAAATCTGACTCCCCCGAGCCACCTGGCCTCAGAGGAATACCGGGAAGCTCTTAGGGCACCCCACCCCACCCCTGTTCAGCTGCAGAGCTGGGCAGTTTTCCTACATAAAATTAACTCAGGTGGTAACTCCTTAATCATGGAAGTACAGTTGACCCTTTAACAGTGAGGGTTTGAACAGCGTGGGTCCACTTATGCGCAGATTTTTTTTTCAATAAATACTGTAAATGTATTTCTCTTATGATTTTCTTAATATCTCTTTTCTCTAGATTCCTTTATTGTAAGAATACAGTATATAATACATAAAACATACAAATGTGTGTTAATAATCAGTTTATGTGACTGGTAAGGCTTCTGGTCAAGAGTAGGCTATAAGTAGTTACATTTTGGGAAAGTCAGAAGTTATGTGTGGATGTTCAGTTGCATGGGGGTTGGTGCCCCTAACCCCCTGCATTGTTCAAGGGTCAACTGTATAATAAAATAATTCTTCACCAAAAGTGATTCAGCTCATGGGGACTCCGGGAAAAGCAAGGGAGTGAAGACACCTGGGATCTGACTGTGTAGGTTTGCCTGATTGCTTGGTAGAATTCACTCACCTGACAGAAGTGCCTAAGCAGGCACTTCTCTGAGACAGGGTGCCTGGAGGCGATCCAGCTCATGAACAGGGGACTCTGGTGTGCTGGTTTCCCTCTGTCTGTAAGTCTGCAAGAGCGAGTGAGTGAGCGAGCAAAAAAAAGGGTGGGGGGGAACAGCTGGCTTGAGTGGCTGCTGACAAGATGAAGCATTGTACTCAAATTTTCTGTTTTCTTGAAATGTTCTTGTTTCTACTGAACATTAGCTACGTATTTTGTGATCAGAGTTTGGTCACATATTCCCCACACACTCTCAGCCGAATGCAGCATATGGCAAGCAGGGAAATAGCCCACACCCTGGCACCGCGCCCAACGCGCCCAGGTCCTTATTCCTACTGCCCAAGGCCATCGTCCTGCCCCAGAGCTAACCTGGGCACTGCCTTCAGGTTCTGCCACTTCCTACCCAGGCTACCTTCTTGGCTCTTGCTGGCTGTGCTCTCTGAACCCCTGGCTTATCATATCTGCTCTCTAAGAGGAGTGACTTACAGATTCCAGTCCACGAAACAGCTGTGTTATGAGTTCTTTAAACTTAGATAGTAGTTCACTTAGTACATCACAGCACATGCCACCGCCACGCCAAGTGGACTTGGAGTTGTAAATGGTATGGGATTCTACAGTATTGAAAATGTAGAAACTCAGTGCAGTGTGTGACTGCCTGTTCATCCTGTTAGGCACAATTTTAAAGAATCTGATCTCACAATTAATAAAATGTAAAACAACCAACTTCCCTGAAGCTACAATTCTATTAATTAACACAGGAAGAGAAAATGTAAGTAAAGTAAAATAACTATATAATTTGTGTGCTCTCTTTTGCTCATAGCTACTCATAGGTTTTCCTAATTTTGCTTCTGTTGTATGGAATCATGAGCTTCCTTACAGCTCTATAGTTATATTTTTAAAAAAAAAAATAAAATAAAGGGCTTTGCTCTTCGAGGAGGGAAATGGGGATCATTGTCATAGGAAATGTAATTTTTGGAGTGACATAAGATGTAACTGTATCACCCCCAAAAGACTGTGCTTTATTTTTCAGTCGACTAAGCAGTATGTTCCTGGTAAGTCGTAGAAATAGTAGTTAACTGTATTAAGTTGCATGAATGCTTTGCATTTTTTCATGACAATGTTATGCTGGCATTGATGCTTAGTAAGCAGCATAAAAGACCGCCCTTCATAGGCTCCAGCATGGAATGAGGGTGTTTAGTTATGTCAGAGGCATGTATGTTTTTTTTTTAATGTCTGAAATTGTCTTTGTGTATCTGCGTATGTTTATTTTAAAGAGAGAGAGACGAGTAATGGATAAACCTATTTGACAGTAAATGTCTTGGCAAGCTCATTAGCCTCCATTATTAAGACATTCCTTTGAAATTAGATTTTTCCTGGAATGCCATTTAAAACAAAAGAAAACACATTTTTCTCTGGCTTAAGAAACTTCCCAGCCCTTGGGAACCCCCAGAACAGTGCCTGTAAATGAATGCAGTTGGAAAGGTTGCCCTCTAGTGGCCACATGTCGTCATCTCAGCTAAAACTGTCCTATGTTGCACCGGGGCCAGTTAGTATCTCTACTGAGTACGGAACGACTGAATACAGCATACACCAGCCTACACTTTTCTGAGTAGAGTAAATGGGCCACCTGCACAAACGTCTGTGGTGAACGACTGAGTCACTGTTCATCTGGTGTAGCACGGAGTGGCTTTGTCAGCTCTGCCCTTCCTTGCATTTGGACTACAATGGCCCTGTTTCCTTCCTGCCGCTGCCAGAGCACAGATCAGAGAGGTACCTGCATATCTTAGATCAGACCGGGCTGTGAAGTATCTACCAACTAATGATAAACCTCCGGAACACCACAGTCGAAGCCTGCAGACAGTTTGTAGAATTATACCACCCCTTTGTCAGAAATGCTTGGGCCCATTAGTCCACAAGCTATTTAGCTCGGGAGGGAAAACCTCCATCCTCAGTAGCTACTGTCTCCTGCTGAGCTGGATTTCACGTAAAAATGCCAAAGTGTCATATGCATGAGGATTTTGACACCTATCGAGGACGCAAGGAATAAACACCTGCTCTTAGCCACTTCTTCATGGAGCAGGCTTTAAATCCGTATGCTTTCTCTTTTTTTCCCCTTTTTTTTGTTTGTTTTTGGGGTTGTTTTTTTTTTTAGCTTGTTTTAACTGTGGGAGTATCCATAGTTCACTCAAGAAGACAGCAACTTCATTTTTCCTCCACTTTATTCTTGCAGACGTGGTCTGAAGAATGAGAAATCTGGGGGACTCTAAACACTGGCAGTGTGCGAGCTGCAGGATATGACATGCTTGGAATTCCCACACCATGAGAAGAGCCTCATCAATATGGATGTGCATTCCTATAGCATCATTCTCCAGCATTCCATATGACAACAAAGTGGCCCAGTTTGAGTGAATAAAATATAGTCCCTTTTCGCTCACATTCCAGGCTCAACAGTAACAGCATTCATAGCCACACGCAGCATGGACTCACAGGATAGGCACAGCTTTCCCCTCTCCCCTCTGGCTATGATCGCAGGGTGTATAAGGATCCATGGGTATTGGGGAGGCCGGGGGGTGGGAAGGTGGAGGGAGTGGTAGTAGTTTCTTCCCCTGTAACGTAAGGGCAGGCTCGCCTTGGAAGTCCGTTTTTCAGTGATTGCTTATATCAGTTTCTCTGTAACAATGCCTGAATAGTGGGCAGCAATAGTCAGAAAAAAAAAAAAAGCCACACTTATCCCTCTATTCAATTCACACCACACCTAAGATTGCCAAGTAGGTTTTAGCAGTCCCGTTTTCATTGTCAACAAGTCTCAGAGTGTGGTGACAGCCCCGTATCTGTCCAGTCAGCTGAAGGAAGCATTTGGAGCAGGACCGCAGAGAAGGGAGAGTGTGCAGGTGCAGGAGCCTTGACCTCGAGAGCCTGAGGATCAGCCACCATGGCCTTGGACCCCAAGTCCTGCCTGGCCTTGGTCCCTAAGTCCTGCCTGGCCGTAGGTCTCATTTCTGACAGCTGCAGGGAGTGTCTGTGAAGAGACAGCCCTTCGTCTGGGCACAGAGGTTTGGCCTATCCCTAAACGGTGGCCATCATTTCTTTGATGACCTGAGTCCTCCCCTCCTCCAACCCCACTGCCTCCTCCTAGGCCCCCTAGCCACCAGCCTGCACTCATTTTCTCTGGAGGGAATTTGAATCAGCTGCTTTACGGAGATGCACATTGTCATTCACAAAGGCAACAGCATGTGTTTCTTCTGGCAGGATGAACATGTCGGTGACATAGCAACCCTTTGATATCTGCATCCCCCCGCCCCCGACACACACACACACACACACACACACACACACACACACCAGCCTCAGCTGGTACCTGCAGTCAGCTGTGCAGCTCTTCCTGGGCCTTCATCACTCCTCCTCTCCATGCATTTCCTCGGACCCTGCACCCTCCTCTCTGTTGGCCTCTTTTCTCTAACCTCCCACTTCATTTCTTAACACTGCTCTGTCCCTTTCCCAGCTTTGTCCCATGGTCCTTATTTCTCTGTCCTGTTCTTACTCAGTTTTGGTTTGGTTTGATTTCCATTTTCTCTTTCCTTTCCCATTGGTAGCCATGGTAGCCATCCCATCTTTGGGAGACTGTGATTCCATTCTGCCATGTTCTTTTTTGTCCCCTAAGGATCAGGTGGACCAACACCAGTATTCTAAAAGGGGCGCCAAGGTAGTAAAATATCGGCACATTCCTTCCTTTTTGTGATGGTGGCAAAAATCCCTACGAAATGGCACTATAGTGTTAGGCCAGGTTCTCCTTGCGAGCTGGTTACAGAATTATTCTTTCCATTGTGAATAGAAGTCCCCTCATGTACTCCTCCAGGAGCCCGAGTGGAAGGCAGAGCCTGACAACTGGAGGTGTGTGTCTCAGGGTTTAGAACCGTTTTCAGTCTTGGCCAACACTCCTAGAGGAGGGATGGCGGGTGAACCCAAGGCTGGGCCAGGACTCCCGCACACAGGAACCATTCCCTCCTCTTCTGCCCAGTTCCCAGCCCTTTCCCACTGGGCAGCAGAGTGAGACGGCCGTGACTGTTAACACCGTGTCTCTTTGTCTGACTCCATCGGCTGTTCGAATGTGCCTGCGAATTGATCTGCTCAGAGTGGGTACTCGCTGCCGCTTCCTGCTAAACTTGTTTTTGGAAGACACCCTTTTCAGCCTTCTCCTCCCCGAAACCCTTTCAGGCTGCTCAGGCTGTACTTCACTGGCTGGCCTCAGGCTTCGATATGTGCGCCTTCCCTGTGGGGTTGGGGAGCCAGGCTCAGGTCACACACATGTCCTGTCTTCCTGTGCGCCTGACTTGGCATGCTCG